AGGTGCTGAAATTCACACATCTCTGTAATCCAGTAACACGGTTCTCTTTCAGTCAGTCACTAGGAGACCCCTCACCTCAGTGTCAACATAACATCTCAGTTCCTTCCTTCTGGGAACGAGGGTTACATGTGTAACAGAGAAGTTCTCAGTTCAGGTCCTCACTGAATGTAGGGATGCAGCGATTAACCGGTTTCACAATTAACCGCGCTTTAAAATGTCACGGTTAATTAATCGTAAAGGCTCCACTACACCGAGTGTTTCTGTTGCACAGAACGGAACAGTTGCAACTTGCGCTAAAACGAAAACAAAGTTACACTAGCGGTGCGCCAACTTAAAATACTGTGCTTATCAGAGACAGGGAGGCTACTACACACACTTGATTAACTTTGACAAAGGAACCAAACAGCGAAGCCTTATTTCCACCAGAGAAATGACTGAAGTCGATAGTGTGGGACCATTTTGGGTACACCAAGAATGACCAGGGTGTCATTTAAATATTGCCGTAAAAACTGCTGCTAAAGAGCGAATACACGGCTTTAAACTATTTTAATGCACGACGTGAAGGCAAGACTGACGCGAAGCTACGGCTCGTTAGCTCAGTATTCTGCCCACTTCAGATCAGACAGATGAAATAGTGTGGTAAGATCACAATTATTTTAATTAATTAATTATAACATTTAGCTACTTGAATTAATTATTCGAGAGCGAGAGAGAGGTGACAGTTGCCTGTGTGAATTAGCCTACCTGCGTCTGTGCTTCTCTCCAGTAGGCTATTTAGTGCTACGTCTGACACTAAATCTTACGCCTAGTCAGAGGTAGGTGTAAAGTGAAAAGTCATGATTTGCTCGGACATTATTCGTTTTTAGGGTTCATGTCTGTTAGTTAATTATTACTGCAGATGTGAACTGTAATGTTTATGGTCTTTTCAGGCAGGATAAGCGATATCAATCGCGAAGCTCAGTGTAGACTATAGCCTACCATACTGCCGACAGTAATTGAATACAAAATATATTTCTTTACAGCATGTTATAATTATGCAGTAAAATATTACATATGAACTGGATTTATTCATAGAAACAGAACCATTTGACATCTTGCTTGGAAGGACAGTGTAAATGCTAAACGTCTTTATCCATTCAGTATTTGTAGCGTGCCTGCCATCCAATAATCGCAATAAGTTTTGTGCTTTGTTACTTTTAATCAGAAATAAATTATCAGCTTTCAAATTCTGTCAGTTTTATCACAAAATACAAACTATAAATGTGGTTTTTCAGCCACAGAAAGACGTCAGTAAAACAATGTCACGTAAAGTCTCATTTACCTCAGGAAAGACATTCATCGTACATAAACTTGATAATCAGCTAGAAAAAATAACTCTAGAGAGAAACATTGTATTACATTCATTATATTTTACTTAACCTGCTGCCTTCATTTTTAATGTTCGTTTGAAGAAATCTGTCATAGGAACGTTTTTTTACGTCTAGCTGGTGCAACCGGCCCCTGGTCATTACGTCACCCGCCCGTGACATCTCGCCCATCTACTGGACTGATTACACATGTGATTCAGAGCGTGGTCACGCTGAAGGCGTTCCCATAGCGTTCACCTTAGCGTGCGTAACCTGGAGATGTTTTTTTTTTTTTTTTTACATCTCCAGACAACTAGTTGGCATTAGAGGCTCCAAATTTGCTGTGGTTAAAGTTCAGACTGTCCTCTATCTGTGTGCCAAATTTCATAAATCATAAATGATCCAGATTCTGTTTTGTGGATAGTAAGACTTCACTTTCACCTAAAGTGAGAGGCATTTCTGCTGCTCTAAGAAGTACTTCTTTTCTCAGAATTACTTCTGCTTCTTTCGTCACACTGGAAATGAAAAATCAGGTGAAACACATTGCATTGTGGGTTACAGTATACTGCTATTTAGTGAATGTAGTAGGTCTTCCAGATGTTCTGTGCATACAGAAAATGTGCATACTGTGCACATTACACATACTACATACTGCAGCAATAGTAAGAGTAGTCAAAATTGTATTGTAATTTTTCTTGTGCAGAACAGAGAAAAACAAAATGCAGTTTCCCAGGAAATCTTGGTGCAGATTTGACATTAAGAAACTGTCACATGTTCAGTTTGTTTTGTCATAGTTTTCTTTGTGTTTCCGACGAGTCACGTTACTTCCTGTTTGTTGCTGCCGTGTGTTTGAGTTTGAGCTCCATCAAGTTCATTCTTTATTGTGTCATTTTTTATCTTAAAATCAATTTTATACACAATCATTTTTGTTTCTATAATGTGTGAATATATCCCCTATCGTATTCTACAACAAAAACAATCAGAGCGCCTTGTTATCACTAGTTTTATTTTGATTTCCCGAGTCCGCTATTAGCTTATAGCCCATTAGCATCGCCAGCGTGGTTGCCGCTAATCTCGCTTACATTGCTAATACTGTATTTGCACACATTACCATTGTTTTACTCACTGTTACTTGCTGTAATGGCAGATGTGTGTCTACCTTTGAGTGCAGGTGAGGACACGTTCGAGGCTGATCTGGGGCTGACGCTCACAAATTCGGCGTAAGTATACAGCGCACTGCTAACAGTCCCACAACCTCTACTCCGTGTGTTTCTCTGCACTGGCCCGGTGCACCCAGGACGCAATCTTCCCAGATGTCCTTCACTCCTGCGCCTGGACACCACGGACCCTGGGTGCTCCATGACTATTCACGCCCCCTCGCATATTCCTTTTCTACACAAAATGTGTCTTAGAAAATTTAAATCAATATATTGTTTTCTGTGAGTGAGTAAACAAGATGATTTTCACATCATTCTGAAGCAAAAACTCTAGACTTCAAGATCCAGTTCTCAAATGTCTTGTGAACAAATGTTCTGTATGTGTTTTATGCCCTTATTTCAGTGACTTTAAAATTTTAGTTTTTCACTAAGCACGCATAAACGTTGTTTTCTCAAAAACACAATCACATACATACATGCTGCCCACATATTATTGTAGCCCAGTTTGTGCTGATTATGGTGCTACTAAACTTAGCCATTAAAATGTTTATTAGCAACTGAAAAAAGCACAAATGTCAGGGCATGTCAAAACTTCTCCAGGGCCCCAAAACACCCTCGGACCCCAGAGGGTTAATCTTAATGTTGTATGTTTTAATGTAATGTGTACATTATGTTTATAAGATTTTTCCGAGATCCTGACTGATTGAATCAGTGTGAACACTTATAAGATTTGTTCACCAGAAATTTCTCACCCGTGAAAAACTCTTTCCACACAAAGAACACATTTGAGGCTTCTTCTTTGAATGAACGTGCAGGTGCTACTTCAGGTTTTCTGCCCTAGCACATTTTTTGCTGCACTGATCACAGTTAAATGGTCTTTCTCCAGAGTGTGAACGCAGATGTCCCTAAAGACTGTTTGCTTGTGCAAAGCTCTTGCCACATTGATCACATGTGTGCCGCTTCTATCCATTATGAATTTTGCATAGTAATCATTGTGAATCTGGTTAGTAATGTGTGAAGCTGGTAATGCTGCTTGTGGAGTTGTTTAATCCTCCTCTGCTGAGATCTTGAGAGATTCCATGTTCCATGTCTTATACAATTCATTTAATCTGAGGCTGGAAGCCAGTTGTGTTTCTGCTCATCTCATTATTAATTATTATTTTTTTGATTGACTTTACAGTAGTTATTATTATTATTATTGTTATTATTATTAAAACGTATTCAATTATCATTTAATAGAGAAATGCATTTCACAACATCAAGAAATATGTCTTTATATTTGGAGAAACTGTGATGATTAGTGCTGGTAAATAGCCATGAAATTAAAGAAAAAATTTAACCCTATAGTGTTTGCACAAGCAAACCTGAATGCTGGCCCACCTGAAGGACATTACTGGACCCTTACTGGATCCTCTTCAGTTTGCCTACAGAGCAAACAGGTCTGTGGACGATGCAGTAAACATGGGACTGCATTATGTTCTGCAACATCTAGACAGACCAGGGACTTATGTGAGGATCCTGTTCGTGGACTTCAGCTCTGCCTTTAACACTATCATCCCAAACCTCCTCCTGCCCAAACTAACTCAGCTCTCCGTGCCCACCTCCGTCTGTCAGTGGAT